TCGTTCTCCTGTCAGGGTGTGGTCGCCCTGCCAGTATCCTAGTCCATCTTCTTCGGAGGCTAGGAAGTGGTCGATGGTCCTCTTCCCGTAAAACCTAGCCATGGGAAACAGCATGTCTACGGGTTATAAGTTCACAGCTCGATTGGCGTAGAGCACGAGCGCCACGCATTGTCTCTGACGGTGGGACGGTACATCTGTGATTTCAATGATTTGCTACGGCCCGCCTTAAGCCAGGCAATCTCTGGGCAACTTGATGCAAACCCGCCAAAACGCATCTGCATCTGACCGTGGTCGCAGGTGTATCCTACTACGGTCGCAAAACAAATATGAATCGATCCAGTACCTTAAAGGCTGCGTGTGACAGCCGTCAAGCAGATCCCAATCTGCCTCTGCAATCACATTCCCGACTGCATCTGCTCCTCACTGCCTTGTGGGCCAGGCAATTGAGCCAAACTTTCAGGACGGAGTCCCTCAAGCAAAACCTCCGAATCACCCACTCCTTTGTGGGTCAGGCTATTGAGCCAAATCCTTCGGGAGGTCCCTCAGATAAAGCTCCGAAGCACATCCGCCACCTCGCGTGCGATTGCCCACCAATTCAATCGTATGCCTGCGCACAAAGCACTCAGCATCGGGTGCTGGAACGTGCGCACACTACTGGACCGGAACTCGAATGAGATACCCGAGCGACGCACTACACTGGTCGCGATGGAACTGGCGCGCTACCACTTGATATTGCGGCGCTCAGTGAAACCTGACTCGCTGAGCAAGGTAAGTTACATGAAGCAGGTGCTGACTACATATTCTAACGAGTGGACAACGCCGCCTCAGCACCATGTGATCATGGGGTCGGATTTGCAATATCCGATCGCCGCCATTGCCAGCTCATGGGCGAATCTACAGGCATCAGTGCGACTGATGACTGTTCGCCTACGACTCAGAAGAGGTAAATTTGCCACCTATATAAGCATGTACGGTCCGACCATATTTTATCCTGATGACTCGCGTGATCAATTCCACACGGAGTTATCCTCCGTAATTCGGTCTGTGCCGAGGACCGACCGACTATTTCTGCTGGGTGATTTCAACGCGCGCGTTGGCCGTGATGCATCGGTGCGGACAGATGTTATCGGTTCGCATGACATTGGTTTAGCGAATGCGAACGGTGACAGGCTGCTCTCACTTCGTGCCACTCACGGCCTGACGATCACGAACACTCGGTTTGCACTGAATGCGAGTGTTACAGCAACTTGGACGTATCCACGGAGTGGTCATGCACACCTGCTCGACTATGACATCGTACGTCAGCGCGATATGAGCGAACACGTGTACTGCGTGGAGCTGAGTGCGGCACTGATCATAAATTGGTGCGGACCAAACTATATATATATATATATATATATATATATATATATATATATATATTTCCGTAAATCTATGTATTGCACTCCCGCCGTGAATCGGCGTACATTTGACATGCTCGCTCTCGGTGCCGTGGAGTAACGTACTGAGTTGGAGCAGGCGACGGCTGCACGACTGTGTGATGTGGAATGCATAGCCACAATGGGTGACCCGTGGCACCACATTCGCGACCAGGTGACAGCTGCTGCCGAGGAGACCATCTGGCACGCAAACTCTAAGCGGCCTGATTGATTTGATGACAACAATGCGACGATTGGCGCATTGGTGTGTGAAAAGAATGCAGCATTTGCTGCACATATGGCAGACCCCAGTGACTTGGGGAAGAATAGTCAGTTTCGCAGAAATCGACGGCGACTGACCCGAGAGCTCCGTCGCATAAAAAAATGCATGTTGGATGGAGAAGACGAAGCAGATGGAATGCTACGCCGAACGTCGCCAACACAAGGAATTCTTTGATTCCTTGAAGGTGGTGTATGGACCGAGGTTGGAGCAACCGAGGACACTGATCGATGGTACTTCAGGCGCTACGTGTACACAGACTGCAGACATAATGCAGATCTGGCGGGAACACTTTAACTGTCTGTTGAACAACCGTTCAGAGATCGACTGGACTACACTGAACGGCTTTCAGCAGCACGATGTGAATGTGAGTCCGGCGGGCACGCCGACACTGGATGAGACGCAGAGAGCACTTGCTCAACTGCGAAACGGCAAGTGTGCTGGTGCCGACGGGATCCCGCCTGAACTATTGAAAGACGGCGGACCCACGTTGGTTACTACGCTTGCACCACTTGGTGCAACGGGTATGGATTAACGAGGAAATGCCTGATGAGCTGAAGGATGCCCTTGTGCTACCAATGTACAAGGGTAAAGGTAGCAAGCAATGTTGCACGAATTATTGTGGCATCAACTTGCTGAGTTGTGTGGGCAAGGTGATTGCCCGAATCCTGCTCAACCGCCTCGTCAGTCATGTTGTGAAACCCAACGTGGCGGAAGAGCAGTGTGAATTCCGTTCGAGTCGCAGCACTATATATTCGGTGTTTGCGGCTCGTCAGTTGCAGGAGAAATGCAGACAACGACACTAGCCGTTTTACTCGCTTTTCGTTGATTTCACCAAAGCATTTGATACGGTGAACCGCGAGGCATTGTGGCTGGTGTTGGGTAAGTTTGGTTGCCCGCGTAAGTTTGTAAGTTTAATTGGATGTCTGCACAGTGGTATGCGAGCGAGGGTGCAGCTGAGTGGAGAGACCTCGGATGACTTTGCAGTTGTCTCTGGTGTGAAGCAAGGCTGTGTCTTAGCTCCTGCCCTGTTTAATATATATCTTCGTGCAATGTTGTCTTGTGCTTTTGATGCGGCTTGTGCTTACGGTGTTCGTGTGGAGCACCGTATTGATGGTGGGTTGCTGAACCTCCGTCGTTTCGGTGCGAGAACTCTAGTCTGTGAGACAACTATCCGTATGTTGCTGTTTGCTGACGACTGTGCGTTGTTTTCACACAGCGCCGATGAGTTGCAGCACATGACTAGTGCTCTGGCTTCGACAGCGGCCAAATTCGGGCTCACCATCAACACAAGCAAAACTGTCTGTCTCTTTCAGCCTTCACCGGAGATGCAATCTTCAATATTGCCGCAAATCAGCATTGGTGCTGAAGTATTGGAAACCACCTCCCGCTTTTGCTACCTTGGGAGTGTGATATCGACTGATCAGCAGCTACACGTTGAGTTGCGTATTCGCGTGTCGAAGGCGCCAGCGACATTCGGGAAGCTTGAGTACCGAGTGTGGAACAACCATCAGCTTACCATTGGCACGAAGCCGATGGTGTACAAATCCATGGTACTGTCCGTTCTTCTATACGGCAGTGAAACGTGGACGATGTACCGTCGGGATGTGCGATATCTCGAGCGGTTCCATCAGCAGTGTCTGCGACGAATTTTGCGGATCGGTTGGGGCGCCAGAGTCGCAGACACGGAAGTGTTGCGCCGAAGTGGGATGTATGCAGTGGACGGCATACTTTTACTGCGACACCTGAGATGGCTCGGTCATGTGAGCCGTATGGATTCGGCGCGGATACCGAAACAACTTTTATACGGTCAGCTGAGTATTGGGAAGCGGCACGTGGGGAAACCAAAGTTACGTTACCAGGACATGATTAAAGTGAGCCTCACACGTTCTAATCTTGATTGCAGATCATGGGAATCGAAGGCGGTTGATCGGCGTGCGTGGCACGATCTAATCACGAAGGCAGTTGCTGAAGTGCGGGAGAAAGCCCTCATGCATGCAGAGAAGAAGCGGCAGTTGCGGAAGCGGCAAGCACCAATGAATTGTACTCCATCGACATCGAGCGCATGGTGCTGTAGAACATGCGGTCGCGAGTACCTTAGTCAGGCAGGCCTAGTGAGCCATGAGAGAGGTCACTCGGGACCACTGCCGAAGCGACGACGGGTCCCGCAGTGAACGTAGGCAGCACCGGCGCAGCGTTTGTAGGCACGCTGAATTCGATTTACTAACCGCATGCTTGCATGTTAAGTCTCTTTATTTCAGGTGGTGGGTTTTCGGTTCTCTCCTAATGCCTTTCTTTCTCATATAAATGTCTAGCGGGCCATGAGCTATGCCATTAGGGGCCATTACAGAAGCGACGACGGGTCCTACAGAGAATTACGGCGAGCCGGCACAGCGTTTGTAGGCACGCTGAATTCGATTTACTAACCGCGTGCTTGCATGCTAAGTCTCTTTATTTCAGGTGGTGGGTTTACAGTTTTTACCTTAATGCTTTTCTTTCTCATATAAATATCTCCCTGTACTCTATTTCATTAACTTGCACACATCGCTTCAGCCAATTGTATTCGATTTCCATAACATTTTTGCGTTCGTGGCATTCCGTGAACTATACTTTCTGACGTCGTGCACTTAGCTAGGATCTGTTTGTTAACAACTTATTACATATGCTATTTACTTAAGGTTTATATCACCGTTTCCTTATGCATTAATCGAGTTTTTCTCTTTTTCTTTCTCTCTCTCAAGTGTTTGGCTGTTGTTTGATATCCCCGGTATGGATGCGCTTGATGTGCATGTTGACAAGGTGCCTACCTGTCTATTACCCACTATCTCGTCCATACTGGCTTCAGGAGACAGTTGGTCGTTGCTGGAGGGGACAGGGTGCACGGTCCTTGTGGCCGTGTTAGGATCAAAGAGTGGTTCCATGCAGTCAGTGTGGAGCGGACTACGGTCCAGCCACCGACTTGTGTGCGCTTGATTCCCAAATACAGTGTGCTTGTGTTTGCCTGTGAAGGAGTGTGGGCCGGCTCCGTTGATGAAACGTGGTTCCCATCCACATGCCTCCCGGTCTTATTCCTTCGGGTTTACACTGGATATGGGGTATGTGGTTGGAGCTGTGGGTGGTGCAGCGCAAGCCATCCATGGTCCCTCTGTAGGCGCAGGCGTCCTGTGGCTTGCCACAGTGACAGGCAAATCAGAAACCGGATGCCGCCAACCATATATATATATATATATATATATATATATATATATATATATATATATATATATATGAGAGAGAGCATGAAACGACATGTTAAAGCTTACCCGAGGTGTGAGTGCCGGGAGCAACCGATTGAATTCTTGGGCTGACGGAGCCAGTAGTTCGCGATTCTGGAGTCGTCAGCTGTTAAAACAGGAACAAAATGTGGTATGTAATGTATAGATACATACTGAAATGTGTAAACCTTAACCGAACATTAAAAATGACAAAAGAGATTGTTCAAGTTAATAAAAAGCAAGAAAAATAAACTAGTTTTACGGTATCAGTTATACCAATCTCTCAGAATGATTTGTAAGACGTGTTACGATGGGGTTCGGCATGCAGACACCATCCGCATGGATAGTCGATATTACTAAAGCACTGGATCTATAAATTCATTTTCGCCAAGGGCTGGGTAGAGTCGGTTTGCAGCATACTGAGCAGTATGCAGAAAAGCAGAGGTTTGAGGAATTATAAGAAGGACAATTTATTCCATATCAAGCAAAATCTGTATGTAACGGAAATGCACTTGTAATGTGTAGGGATGATCTGCCGCCGTACAATCTGTAATTAACTAAGACGTCAAAGGTCCAATATTCTAAGGTAAGACAGAACCTAGAGTGAGACGCAGTCAGTTAGGATCAAGGTGCAATTTGTGATGTTATTTCTTTCTTAATAATGAGTCTAGCAGCACATAAGCATAAACCAGACGACAACACTCCAAGCGCTATGGCTAACAGTCACAAATTGTGGAAATACATTTCTTTCCCAAGGTAAACAGATTGTATAGAGAAGGTGGAATAACAGAGACGACAACAATCACTAAAAACTGAAATCAGTTACATGTGAATGGAATCTAGCCACGTTACCAATCTCAGCCACCCTGAGAGCATGGTTTGAATCAGGGGACGTAGAGTTTACTAGCCGGACACTAGAACTCATACATCACACACTACTCTTTTAATATGTCATTGGGTCCTGAATGAGTTTCGGTGTCACGTCAAATCCACCCAGCCGCCTAGTCGTCTGAATGGAAGATAGTAGTGAAGCAAGTATAGGAGCGCCACCGAATGTGCCAGTAGTGCTGATGAGAAAGTTAATACAATCACAGACGATGTTAAAATGAAGGGAATAGCTCATGTGGGAGGAGCAACGAGGAATTGTAGTGCAGAAGACAATCTGTTTACAGAAAAGGGAAACAGTACCAAGAGGATTAAGTGTCGTTTTCAAAGCCACGTGCCCGGGAGTTCGTATGAGTTGTAGTGCAAGTGAATTCTTGCGGACGCAACGGAATGCCTGCATGAGGGCTGATGAACCACTTAAAAAGAATATGTTAAGCCTGATGATTAAATACCTACATCTAAGTTGTCCCAGCACGATATGATTGCAAACAATCTTCGAAAATCCTTTAGCTATGTAGGACTATGCATTGCGGTTACTCGAAAGCCGCATCTACGATAGAAAATACATGGTAGCCTATGTCAGTTCGCGGCAGCCATAAGAACAATACGGTGACCCAGAGACCTACAACTTCAATAGCATGAAGCAGATGCCAAGTCGGCTGCTTAGCATAGATAAACAGCTTATCACAAAAGATAAGTCACGGTAAGCTGCCGTGAGTATGTTAGATGCGGCCCAGTAGCAAGCATCCAGCCGCCGTTTGCAAATAAAAGCGTAAGCTCTCCACTGAAAACAGCGCTATACACTCAAATGAGAAACTGGGAAGGAAACCGCTAAAAGAACTAAGGAGGAGCTGAACCCCGTGAATGAATGATGAACTAAGTGAACCTAAGGGGAGCAGAGTAGGATGGCGTTTTCGCTCGTTGAGTTTAAAAGGAGAAACTCGCTACGGTGTGAGGGTACACCGTTTTGATTGATATGTTAATAAAAAGTACCTCCTTAGCCACAAAATGTTGGATCTCATTTTTTCTTAAGCTTACTGTTATATTCGTGACTAGCTTCCACATGGTTGTGCAAGTTTATTTTAACTTGGAAGGGTGAAACTGCATGACGTAGGATTTGAACCAGCTATTTCCCCTGGAGACTAAAGTGAAACAGCATGGGACTTCAAATGAACTTTAACACGCCAGCTGAAGTCGAGCATAAGACTCATTAATTCTTTCTGAGTCATAAACTATATACCGACAGTCGAGAGATGAGGCAGGTCGCAAACCCCTTTTATAAACAGACCTGTGAGGAAGCTCGTCAGATGTGCACTCACAGAAACTAACCTACCCTCTTGCTAAACAAGTCTGCGTTTTACCGAGTCAGCAAGCAGCGAAAGCATCGTTAGTAGTATACTTCAGCTATCCAATGGGTGTATTACGTGGTTCAGGAAAATGCCACATTTTTAGTTTCAGCAACCCGTTGTCCTGAACTTAAATGCGGCTTTTCTGATGTCTATAAAATGTACATACTTCGTCCGTAATGCCGTGCTATTGTGTAATTCTTCTACTGCGGCGAATTTTCAAATACCTTTCCTCACATTACGTAGGTATGCACAGTATGACAGTTTAACCTGCCATTTGGTCTGATGATGCTTGGTAAAGTCGACGCTGTTGTCCCACATCCACGGCTAGTAACACCCAATTCGGTGGAAGAAAAACGTGTGCGTAGATTTTTGTGTCTTTCAATATCCCCAGTTTGTATATGGTACACGTACCACATCGACGAGGGGTTGACTGATAACTCATATGTCCATCCTCACTGCATAGTTCACTTGTCTGTTGATGCGCCAATATAATGAAGCAGGATCATGAAAAATTCCGTTTGACGATACAATGAAAGTACATGAGTGCGTATTCCTGCTGCTTTCCGTAGGGATCAACGATACTTTCATGCAAGTACGACACATATGACAACGACTTTAATGTAACCCGTTGTCTGCAATAAAATCCGTGCCTGTACGTTAAATGAAAAGAACATCTCATACTGAGTGAGATAAGTAGCTGTCGAATGCAGGCACTTTGAAGATGTTTTTCACCAATACAAGGGTCAAAACTCCAAGCTTTGTGGCTGAAAATACGGACTGCAGGTGTTTGAAAGATATTCGCTAAAACGCAAAAAGAGGGAATGTATGTGTATTGAATAGATGGTTCATTTTTCTTCAGCGTAAGCAGGCAGATGCACAGTAGATCCTGAGAAGAAACACACCCAAACGAAATAGTAAATACAGCAACCTTTCGCGTGCTCTAAAGAAGTTAGGAACTTATCTACTGGTTCACGAAGCAAGTTAAGCCTGTAGCGTCCAAAAAGATAACCGCTATCTTTGATGTACTATTTAATTGTTGACTAATTGTACATTATTCTTTCTTGTTTTAATCTTCTTTACAACCGTCTCGACACTCGTCCGCCTTGTAAGTTCCCGCGCTAACGTGTACCTCCTGCCTTGCTTCGTCCGTCCACGTCTTTTTGTAGCCCATCGAATACAGTCCGCTGTGACCGACTCCAATCGCCTTCTGATATCCGCGCACCGTCTCGGACTAGTAGTAACTAGTCCTACAAATTGGTGACCTCGATTCGCACGCGCGAATTCAACACATTTTTCCTAGTTTGTATTTTTGGTGAGTTCATTCCTTTTTCTAGATAATATACCTGTATACATTTGTTTCTTGCGTAATATTAGCACTGCTATAGGGTTTTTGTTCATTCTTTATTTTTTCGACGTTTATCTCGATGACATTTTAATCGCGAGCTCTTCACGAGAAGAGCACATGCGCCACGTACGAACACTTTTTGATTGTTTATCTCAACACGGGGTGACGATCAACGCAGAAAAGTGTTCGTTTGCTGTCGACTCAGTCAACTTCCTCGGTCATCGTATCTCCTCTGCAGGCATCGTGCCACTGTAAGATAAAATTCAAGCCATCACCGACTACCCTGAGCCACGTTCTTCCAAACAGCTCAGGCGCTTTAATGGGCTTGTCAACTTTTACCGATGGTTCATACCCAACTCGCCTCGCTGATGCAACCCCTCACGGACCTTCTCCGATGGAAACACAAGAAATTCGAATTTCCTGCCGCAGCACGCGCTGCTTTCAAGTCGCTGAAAGAAGTTATCGTCAACATGGCTTCTATAGCGCATCATGATCCGGCCACCCCACTGTCCCTCAGTACTGACGCCTCGGACGTGGCAGTCGGCGCTGTTTTACAGCAACGAGTATCCGACACGTGGCAGCCTTTAGCGTTTTTCTCCAAATGCTTACAACCTACCGATTCCCGTTACAGCACGTTCGGCAGAGAACTACTAGCCATATATCTAGTGATACGTCAATTTCGACAAGTCTTAGGGGGCCGCTACTTTGCCGTCTTCACCGACAACAAATCCCTAACTTACGTGCACGGCTGGAGTACCGATCGATAGTCTCCTAGAGAGTCGCGAAACCTTGACTATATCGGTCAGTTTACGACCGATATACGGCATGTCTCAGGTGTGCACAACGCCGTCGCCGATGCACTATCCCGTATCCAAACTATCTGCGCTGACGCCGGCACTGCTATCGACTTGGCAGTCATGGCCACAGAGCAACTCAACAATCCTGAGGTTCATCTACTACTCAGGTCTCCCTCACTGGACACACGACTCGTTCCGCTGACATCATCATACGGAACTATACTTTGCGATTTATCTCTCGACACGCCGCGCCCAGTCGTCCCACGCGAGTTTCGGCAGACCGTGTTCGACACGTTGCACGGCTCGTCTCATCCAGGCGTTCGTGCATCGGCTAAACCGGTAACCGCACGATTCGTTTGGCCTAATGTCAATCGCGACCTCCGTACTTGAGCAGCTGCTTGCCTTCCCTGTCAACGCGCGAAGGTGCACAAGCACACGAGAAGCCCATTAGGCACGTTTCCGACGCCAGATGCATGTTTTCATCACGTGCACATCGACCTCGTAGGTCCTCTGCAGTCTTCCCAAGGCTCTGTGTATCTACTGACCAGTACCGATCGATTTACTAGATGGCCTAATGTCGTCCCTATCCAAAAGTGCTCTTCGGAAACGGTAGCGAAAGCTTTTCCGGAGCGCAGGGTAGCTCAATACGGCTGTCCCGCCATCGTGGCCACCGATCGAGGGTCACATTTCTCGTCGACATCTTCCACGTTATTTAAGGATTTAGGCGTCAGTGAGACAATCAAAGACAGCG